CGCAGTCAATTCTTCTGCGCTCGTTCTTTGGTTCCACTCAAGAGTAATAAAGGAGGTGTATTAACGAGCTCTTTTAAAAAAAAAAAAAAGAGGGGAACGTGGCGGAGAAGAAGAAGAAAAAAACCTCGCAAATAATCATACACACCCGTGCAACGCGCCTTTGACCGTCCTTCTCCGGGGCTTCTTTAGGATTTGGAAGTGAGGGAAGCAAATTACCCTGAGCTTGCGCGAAATGGTTAAAAAGACGGAAGTTTAAGACGCCGAGAGGCTCTTCTGTAGCTACAGCAACCGTAAACAGAAAAGGCTGAAACGGCGGCGTGGAAGAGCGGGCTACCCGATCAGCTACAGGCACACCTTCAAGCCCCGATCCTCGCCAACTGTAACCGATCTAGCGTGATCCTGATCCCACGTGGCTTTGGGTTCAGCCGAAACGCTGGGGGAATCAGCTCGCTTTCCCCTTGAATTGGAAGGCTGACCTGTGTTCGCTGGTGAGGAATTTCGACCTATTGCGTTGAAAGATTTATATATATAGAGAGAGAAAGGCTGTTGAATTCTAGAGGCAACTGGACTTTCTGGCTTTCCTGTGAAGACGTTTCGCTTCTCATCCAAGAAGCTTCTTCAGTGCTGAAGCGAAACGTCTTGAAAGGAAAACCAGGAAGTCCAATTGCCTCTTGAAAAAGCACCTTTGGGACAACCATGACCTGGATGACTGAGAGGGATGACAGACAGTTGAATTATAGAGATTTCTTCATTTCTTTCACTGTCTCCTGCCTCTAATCCTGTGAACTAAAACTACCTTGGTCACCGCATTACAAAAAAGATGTTGAGACTTTGGGAAAAGTGCAAAGAAGAGCAACTAAGATGATTAAAGCCCTGGAAATTAAAAAAAACATATGCAGGATTTGGGTTTGGCTAATCTAGAGAAAAGAAGGACTAGGAGGGGACATGACAGCAATATTCCAGTATTTGAGAGGCTGCCACAAAGAGGAAGGGGTTAATTTATTTTCCAAAGCACCAGAGGGCAGGACAAGAAACAATGGATGGAAACTAAACAAGGAGAGAAACAACCTAGAATTAAGGAAACACTTCCTAATAGTGAGGACAATTAACGGGTGGAACAGCTTGCCATCAGAAGTTGTGGGTGTTTCATCACTGGAGGCTTTTAAGAAGAGATGGGATAGTCACTTGTTTGAAATGTTGTAAGGTCTCCTGCTTGAGCCAGGGTTGGACTAGATGACCTCTAAGGTCCCTTTCCAGTTCTATTCTGATTAATTGGTTTTGATACACTAATATTCAGATCCACCCTGTAACATTCACTGCAAATCGTTTCAGCTCTCAGGCAACAAACTGGCATCATCTGGGCACAGAAGATGCACATCGATGTCCACAATTATAACATTATCAAAAGTATTCTTGATGCATATATCCATAAATACAGTATGTTAAATCAAGGGATAATATAGTCTTCCATTTATTCTTGTCCATGCCTTATTTCCATAATTTACTTTTCCAGTATTTCACAACCAACAATTCATGTTTATAATTGTCAAAAATGATCCATAATTCAAATCATTAACATTTATATTTTTCCTAAATTAAGAAAGATGAATCAACTTTTTCAACAACCAGTAAAAGATTACAAAAAACTAATCTGTATAATCTCTGGCTAACATAAAGCCAAGTGCTCTTCCCAATGTTACTCATTGTTACCTCTTATTCCCTTTCAGAATTGCCATTCCCAGTACTTCTCCAATCCTTTATTTAATAGGATAAAAGCATTCTTCCAATCATCAGGAATGCTCTTAAAAAGTTGCAAACCACATCCATAATTAACATTTCCCCACTGCCTACATCTGCAGCCTTAAAATTTTTCAACCCCGGATATTATTCATTTCAATTGTACTCTATGATATATCATTTGTTTCCTTGACTACTCAATCCAGTGTTCCATCTTCTCTGCTTCATCCTCAATCTTTTCATCCTTTATTGATTTCATTTACTCTGCTGCAGCCTCATCATTTAACCTTTCTTATCCCTTCCAAAATAAATTTATTTCAATCAAAATTGCTGTTTTTTCTCTTCCTCTTTTGTCACTGTTCCTTGCTTCCTTTTAATACGTTCTTTTCAATTTTCTTTCTCTATGCATGTTACAAAAATTGTTCTGTCTGCAATATTCTTTTGTTGTTTTCCCCTGATCCACAACTTCTTCCATTTCATAATTCCACCAAATGCCCTTCATTCTTCTTACTAACAGAACTTCAAGCACTTCAGTGGTACTTTTTAGCACAATTCATTCATTTTTTATTATCTTCCAGGCAGCTTCTACATCCATTTTTAAACATCAACTTTCCATGCATTTGTTAGGAACTAATCTGTCGAGCACGGGAAAATCAGGAGATTCAGGCAGTTCAAATGAGTATAAAGATTTATTGCAAGATTGAGCTCTCTACAAGAATCTGAGCTACTAAAGGGCCAAGGGAAATTCACGGGAGATAAGAATAGAAAGAAATTCAAGGTTGATTCTGGACTTAAGATTCTTGTGGGTGCACAGGAACTCATGACTGATGATGCGTTTGTCCCTTCCCTTGGGCTCAGCCTTGTTATCTCCTACATTATCTTTTTAATACTTTTGCCAATAAAATTCTTGCTTTCCCTTTCTGCAGTCATTCTGCTTTCACCTTGTTTTTTGCTTCTGTATTTCTTCTCCCAATACCTATTCTTGACTCTGCTAAAAAATAGTCTATCCCACATTCAAAAGCTTTTATTTATTAATTTGTATCCCATCTTTATTATAAAAGATTTAGGCAGTGGATATACCTAAAACTCCTTCCTCCTCCTCTTTTTCTCTATAACCACAACCGTGTGAGGTCAGTTTTTCTGAAAGCGACTGGCACAAAGTCACCCATGCCTAAAGCAGGACTAGAACACAGTCTCTTGGTTGCTAGCCAGCACCCAAACCATTACATCAAACTGGTACACCTTCAGTATTTCTTTCATTCATTATCATCAAACCATTCAGGTCTTTAGTTTCATTTTTCTACCACAAATACTTAATGCTCGTATTAGAAATAATCTGACATATTTCCAAGCAGATGGTCAGTATCTTAATTGTTTCCAAACTGCCTTTTTTTCTATATTCATCATTCCCATTTTACCTGTTCATGTAATCTAGCAGAGTAACTTTTATTTCTAGATTGCATTTCCAAAAGCCCCTCAAAGCAGGATCCCAAAGCAATGTTTGTTAGAATTGCATTTAAAAGTGAAGATATTTGTATGACATAATCTGATCTATTTGTACCCTATGACTATCATTAAGTGTTGTACCTTATGATTCTTGAGGAATGTATCTTTTCTTTTATGTACTCCAGGAGCGTATGCACCAAGACAAATTCCTTGTGTGTCCAATCACACTTGGCCAATAAAAAATTCTATTCTATTCTATTCTATTCTATTCTATTCTATTCTATTCTATTCTATTATTTCTATCCTATCCTATCCTATCTGTATATAAAGTTAATATCAGAACCCATATATTTCTTCTAGTTCCTTCCAGGAGATTTATGTATGTGTGGGTGTGTGCATACACATATTGACAGAAATAGCAGTATTTTATTTATTTCTACAATCACTTTTTCTTAAGACAGCCTTGTTAGGGATCATATTTTATGGACAGGAAACAAATGGCTAGTTCACATTAGAAACTATGACACGTAGCGCTCAATATTTTAAGACCTTACTCAAACATTTTAAAGAACCCTTTATGAAAAGTACTATATTTCAGAATATTATCAAAATATGAAATCAGTAGTTGCTATTAAAGCTTTCCATAGCTTGGTCACTTGCCATAGCAGCTTTAATTACAAGAAGAATGACTAGATTGAGAACTTTCTCAACTCTGCGGTTAATGGGAGCCAGGAAAAGATAAGATCTTTTTCACGGATAGCTACCCAAAATTTGCCAATTCTCATCAAGAATGAAAGCATCCAACATTAGAAGAGAGAACAGAGAGCAAGAATAGAATAGAATTGGAATGGACCTTGGAGATCGTCTAGTCCAACCCGATGCCCATGGCAACAGATCCTGTACCATTCGAGATAAATGGCTGCCCAGTCTCTTCTTGAAAACCTCCAGTGATGGAGTTTGCAAATCACACATTGAAGTGAATAGATCGTTTCAGAATAGACATTTAGTTTATTAGTGGTAAAAGGGAAATATTGGTAAATGTTATTAGACTACGTAATGTTTTGATTTCCCCCCTCCTCTTAAGTCATGTCTGAAACTAAAGAGCTTGCCTTATAGCCTTATAATTCCTGTAGTTTTCTTAGCAAGGTTTTCCAGAAGTGGTTTTCCCTTGCCTCCTTCCTAGGACTGAGAGAAAGTGACTAGTCCAAGATCAACCAGCTAGCTATGTGCTTAAAGTGGGACTAGAACTCACACTCTCCCAGTTTCTAGCCTGATGTCTTAACCACCACATCAAACTGGTTCTCAAAGGTTTTGAATACACTTGTATTAAAATGGCTCAATGGTTAATGCCACACGTTTGTCAAACCCCTTGAATTAAAGCAGAAAGTCTTCACTTTGCTCACTTCTTGAGTGGTTCATTTCAAATTCAACGTGGTGGCGTGCAAAGGTCAAATGCAAAAAAAAATTATCACTGTCAAAAATATACATGAATCTGACTGTATGTATATTTTCAGGTGGTTAATCTAATGTTATAGACCAGATTAGAAAAATACACAGTATTTTAAACAGTACCCTGCTATGCATTACTATTTAGTCTCTTTACATTGTTCCTTCCCTATATTGATCATGAAAACAATAAACTATTGGATTATCTAATCTCTCAGCACTAAGAACAGTTAGCTGAATATGTGCACCATATGATGAACAAAATTTTACACTTATATGCAGTAGCAGAAAATGAAGATTAAGGGTTTGAGCTAGATATTTTATCTTGCATAGCATGGTGATCTCAATTCAATTTAGCTACAAAGCATAAATAACTTAAAGGCTTGTTTATTTTCCAAAAGCAGAAAACAAATGGTTTTAATATCTGCTGGGAATGCAGTTCTTTTCAAATTGTTGGTACATCTAAGTTATAAAATAATGAAAAAAAACACAATCATTTTAAAAACAATTATTTGTAAAAGCTATGTAAACACGCATGAAAAAAGTATACAGAATAACACAAAGAAATTGCTACTACTAAGTCATACAGATGTGCTAGATCAAATGCCATTAATACTACAAATGAATTATTGTTGTTTCTTCTCTTATGATGGTAAATTGTTAACTTCATCTTTAGCAAATATCACATCATTTCATTTCCTGTGAGGAAGTGTGTTCAGAGTCTTTCAATGATGTAGAAGTTTCATTTTTTTCAGATGCCATTTTGGATTTGGTTTCATCTTCCATTGGACTCAATGTAGTTGTGCTTTTAAGCTGCTCTTGATATTCATTAGGGTCATCAATATCCTCCAAGAACACCGACCCATCTTCTTTTTTGTGAGAGGCAGAAGGCATATATCTCAAATGCTCTTCCTCATCACTAATAAAGTCATCTAAAAAAGCCACTCCATCTTCTTTTTTGTGAGGAAAACGGTCCAACTGTTTAGAATCTGACCTTTCCCTTCTTATGAATAGTTCTGGCATGGTTAGCTGTTGTGCAGGCCTTACCCCAGTTGCAATCTCAGCTTCTTCTTCCTCTTCCTCATACTCATCTAAGAAAGCCACTCCATCTTCTTTTCTATGAGGAAAACGCTCCAACTGTTTAGAGTCTGACCTTTCCCTTCTCATGAATAGTTCTGGTACAGTTAGCTCTTGTGCAGGCCTTACCCCAGTTGCAATCTCAGCTTCTTCTTCCTCTTCCTCATACTCATCTAAGAAAGCCACTCCATATTCTTTTCTGTGAGGAAAACGCTCCAATTGTTTAGAGTCTGATCTTTCCCTTCTCATGAGTAGTTCTGGCACAATTAGCTCTTGTGCAGGCCTCACCCCAGTTGTAATCTCAGCTTCTTCTTCTTCTTCTTCCTCTTCCTCATACTCATCTAAGAAAGCCACTCCATCTTCTTTTCTGTGAGGAAAACGCTCCAATTGTTTAGAGTCTGATCTTTCCCTTCTTATGAATAGTTCTGGCACGGTTAGTTCTTGTGCAGGCCTTACCCCAGTTGTAATCTCAGCTTCTTCTTCATCTCCCTCATACTCACTCAAGACCACTCCATCTTCTTTTCTACAAGGTATGTGTAGGTCCTGGGTCATGGAAGTTTGACTATGAAGAGATGCTAATTCTGATTTAGTTAAGTCTTGCTTCCACTCAGCTTTATTGTCCTCTTGCTCCGGGAAAACCTTCATATATTCCACAGTACCCACAGAAATCCTTCGGTCTGACGTCACATTTTTACCAGATGTTGCATCTGACTTTAGTATGCTCTTAAAGGACTTCATGCTGAATCCTTTTGAATGGCCTGATATACTTTGTTCAGGAGATACCATAGATTTTGTGAACGAGGAAGTAATACTCTGTAAGAAAACAAATAAATGTATTATGAAAGACAGTATTAATGATGGCAGTTCAACAGCATTCTTCCATTCTCTGAACACAGGGCGTAATCCAGGGGTGAAATCTACTTACCTTCCTTACCGGTTTGGAAGTGCACGCGCACACGCACACCTTCTACGCATCCGCAAAACCTTCTGCGCATGCACAGCAGGTAAAAAAACATTACTTCCTGGTTAAAACCAGGAAGTAATGACACCTGGGCGGCGATCGCTACCGAATCGCCGAACCACAGGGAAAAATCGCTACCGGATCGGGCAATCCGGTCCAATCCAGGAACATTTCACTCCTGGCGTAATCACTTCTTCTTCCCACTAAGTAAATAAATAAGGGAAGGGAGAAAATAGGTAAGGAGGAAGTTTACACCAAACACATTTTCTCATTGTAATCTAAATTCACACTATGTATCTGAGATAAAGACAGTGTACATCTGATTTTAAAAGTCTATAATCTATTATCATGATCACTGTTCAAATTCCTTTTGAAATCTATAATTTAAATCTTCAGATTCATTGGCTATAAACCATACTTCCACATAGCCTTCAATCTCTGCTTTGGGACAATTATAAAATATAGAGAGAGTGATTTTAATTCCCAACATCCTCAATCAGCTTGTAAGAACTGTGATCCCAAACCAAAACTCAAGCCTTACTCCCTTGTAATCACTTCCTCTCCAAAAATTGTAAATATAAACATTCATTTCCTCCTCACTAATTATTGCAGCGTGAAGGCAAGCATTCCAGAGGGAGTGAGGGAAAAGGGCTGTAAGATCCAATCTTTTACTCAGCTTCCTCATGAATCAAATTTGGAGACCTTCCCAACCATTTGGAGATCTTCCCAACCATACAATCGGAGTTGTATCCTTCTGATACTGTAAGCAGGAAGGCTGAAGTAAAATCACATGCAGTAAGAGTCACATGATTCTTCATTTAGCAACTACTTTGCTTAATGACTGAGATGCTGGTCCCAACTGCGGTCACTGATCAAGAACTAAGTGTACAGTTTTTGAGGCAGATGGGAACTGAGGCTTCAACTAGACATTCAGATGCTATGGGTTCAACAGCTTTTAGTACCATATCCAATGAATTTCTGACAGGAAGAGTAATTATATCAGGCCTTCTTTATGAACATCTGATATTTTTTATCAAACTGTGTAATGTAGCCTTTTCCCAGACAAAAGGGCATAAGGTATTTCAGGGTGGGTTACTCCCTACTTCTGGCATTTATTAAAAGGGCCTTCAAGAATCTTAAAGGCAAACGCCAATGAAACTGTACTTCTTATTCTTTGCATTTGTCTAGGAACAAATAAAAATGAATAAAATGACAAAAAAGAAAAAGAAAATAACAGAATTGGGGGGAATCTCTGGAGAAATTAGCTAAGCATGTTGCTTGTGATGTAATTTTTTAAAGATAGCTGGAACCACACAAAGGGCAGGGGTTCATGCCAAACTCTAAACTCTCGAGACGTTTAAATGATTCTTCGTGTAGCTGGCACATCCTGTTTGAGCAAATCACAAAGACCATGATGAAGATTTTATATTAATTTCTCTACCACCTGTCAACAGAAATGCTAATAACATGAAAGGGTCATTGTGATAAAATGTCTATCAAAGATCAGGCTGGTACAGAATTCATACTAGAGGAGGAGGAGGTGGTGGTGGTGGAGGAGGAGGAGGAGGAGATGGTTAAATTTTCTTGTTTAGAAAAATAAATGTCATCAAATACTCCTTACCCCTAATGAAGGACTTGGAGATTGCCAAGGCACTATGGTATTGGTTATTACACATACAGAAGCATTAATGTAGTTTTTTGTTGACTGGACTGCTTCTCTTTGCAACCAGGGTATTAAAGCGAGTATGGCAGCTGCTGCAATATTGCAAACCCCGGTTACTACAAAGCCAATGGTATAACTGCCATACATGTCATACATTGCACCTGAAATAAAAATATGTTGTTTACTTTTGTGCTTCCTTTCCCAAAACAGAATTTTCTTTCAAATGATACTATACATTCCAGTATCAAAAAGATTTAAGTAATCACAGCACATACTTCCTGATCCAAAAAGCTAAACAGTTGGTCCTTGTTTTAACTGCTAATTGGAATTGAAAACGCCATCATTTAACAACGTAGTTTTATGTAAAAAAAAAAAAAAATGACCATATCGCTTAGCTGCAACAGTTCTTGCAAATTCCGAGTTACCAATGTTAAGTGAGAATTGTGCAGTTCATTAAGCGAGAACTTCTTATGATCACAGCTTCTGACTTCCTGCTGGCTTCCCCACTGACTTTGTGAGAAACCAGCAACAGAAATTCTTATTACGTGACTGCAGGACACTGCAATGGTTGTAGGTACAAAGTCCTGTTGTAACTACCACTTGTTCAGTGCTGTCATAAGTTCAAATGGTTGCTAAATAAGTGGTCATTAAACAATGAGTACCTATATAGGCATACGTAGAAAAGAAAGAGGAAAGTCGCTAGTGACTAATGGGCCCAGATAGGTTCCAAAGGGAATGAGAGTTGTCCCTGCTATTGTGCTACAAAGCTCTGGTTGCCACTTGGAATAAGGGGATATATGAAGCTTAGGATCAGATTGTACCCATGTGACTTCTTCCCTTTCAGGGATCGTGGCACTGTATAGAGGAGTTGAGAGAGATGAAGCAAGACAAAAGACATCTAAAGTTTTGCTGGCACTCAATGAGGGATGAATTCAAACCTGGGCTAGAAATGCCATTAAGATCTAGTGGTGGTACCGTATTTTTTGGAGTATAAGATGCACCTTTCCCCCCCCTAAAAGGAGGTGAAAATGTAGGTGCGTCTTATACACTGAATGTAGCCCCGCCCACCCACTCCCCACCCTTTGGCCTCTGCCTCCCAGCAGTTACCTCCTTGCAGCAAACAGCAAGAAGAAACAGCTCCTTTCAGCTTCAGCACAGCCTAATTAGCACAGGTTGATTGGATCTGCCTCCCAACTCTCAGCTGATTTGCTCTCAGCTGTTTTGCGTGGGCCTCTTGCTGCTTGCTGCAAGGAGGTAAATTGCTGGAGCAGTTTTTTTTCCCCCTTGTGCTAATCAAGCTATGCTGAAAACGAAAATGAAAGTAAAGTAAAGGCTGCTTGCTGTTTGCTGCAAGGAGGCAAAATTGCTGGGAGGCAGAGGCAGATTTCTTTTTCTTGTTTTCCTCACCAAAAAAGGTAGATGTGTCTTATAGTCCAGTGCGTCTTATACTCTGAAAAATATGGTAAGTGTGGCAAAGCATTGTTAATTCTCTGTTCTTATTGTGTCTGCAGATAACTGTCCTGCTACTCTGTTCTGGGTGGCATGAGTCCTCCCAGGCTCCTGAGTGGCTAAGAGGGGCTCAGAGAACCTCTTGCAGGAGCAATGAGGAGGAATTTCCTCAGCCATCTGTCAGACAAAGTTGCTCGGATTCATTCTCAAGTGGACACTGGCCTTGTTGCAGGACCAGTGGAAATACCTAGGAAGGAATATTGCCATTATCTGAACAGTTATGAACCTGTCTGATCGGAGGAGACAGACAGGGTCTTTGGGGCTGTAAGCTCAGCCACCTGTTCTTTAGATCCATGTCCCTCGTTGCTGATTAAACTGGTTCAGGGGACCATGTGAGTAGGTTCTAGTGATGGTCAATTTGCCTCACCCCCTCCTCAAGAAGCCAGGCAAGCGTGAGAGGGGATCATGCATCCATCCTTGCCCTATTTGACCTCTCTGCAGTTTTTGATACCATTGACCATGGAGTCTTTCTGGATTGACTTCGATTGGGAGTGGGTGATAAGAGTGCTGTTCTAGTTCACTTCCTTTCTCCAGGGCTGATTCCAGGTGATGGCAGTTGAGGAGGAGAGGTCTGGTTCTTCCTCATTGTATCTGCTTGTCCTACCAAATCTGCCAGAGAAAGCAGGCTGCATGTCCCAATTATTAGGGAATTAAACTTGGGTCCCAGAAGACCGGCTGTCTTTGGTGTGGCACTCCCATTATGAGATCTTCTACCCCCAGAAGTGAGGCTAGTTCCATCCCTTTCAATATTCCACAAGTCCCTCAGGATCTGACTGTACCATCAGACCTGGGGGTCCTAGCGGACTGGGGAAATCCTGTGATACTATCTTACTGTGGCTCATATCATTCCCCTTGCTTGGGTGCTATTTTATTGTTTTGAAACATGACTCTTTTTAAATATTTATTGGGTTTTCTTTTTCATTCACTGCTGTATGCAGTGAGATTTGCAGGCATACAAATATAATAAGCAAATAATCAGGCAAGTCTTGGGAAGAATCAGTTCTTGGACACATCAGCAATATAGTTTTCTTTAGGCCAGTGATGGCTAACCTTTTCTGGACTGAATGCCCAAAGCCCGAAACCCCAAAATGCAATGTGCATGCCCCTGTGCATGCATGCGGGGCTGCCCGCACACACCCTGCATATTAGCACGCACTCCCCTCATGCACCCTATCCCTTGCGCATGTGCAGCAGAGACCCGAAGACCAGCTGACCTGGACTGGGGTGACGGCTTACGTGCCCACAGAGAGGGCACTACTCTGGCACGTGTGCCATAGGTTCGCCATCATGGCTCTAGGATAACAATGTTCTTTACAGACAAATCGCAGAATCACACTAACTGGTTTACCTGCAAAGGGTGGACCAAAACAGCTAATTGCGTTGACAGCCATCATAAATCCCCACGCAACAGGCATTCTCTCTGCTCCCATCAAATCAAATGTAAGGACAGGTAGGAGAACATAGTTTCCTGCATCAAAAAATCCCAAAAGGGAGCAAATGGCTACAAGAGCGCCAAAAGATGTGCAATGAGGAATAATAAAGTAGACCACACCTGAAAAATAAAACATGAAGGACATAGGTTTCAATATGAACAAAATGTATTTATTTACCCTATAATGTTAACTGAGATAGAACAACTTCATCAGGCTTTGCCATGCTAATTTCCAATATTTTAGTTCTGCTTACCAAAAATTTTGTTTCTCAAGCACAGAAAGTAGTAGTGGCGCAGAGTAGTGGCGCAGAGAGCCCTGGTGGCGCAGCAGACTAAAGCACTGTTATTAACATCAGCTGCCTGCAATTACTGCAAGTTCAAATCTCACCAGGCTCAAGGTTGACTCAGCCTTCTATCCTTTCTAAGGTAGGTAAAATGAGGACCCAGACTGTGGGGGCAATAAGCTGACTTTGTATAAATATACAAAAGTATGAAGGCTATTGCTTAACGCATTGTAAGCCACCCTGAGTCTCCGGAGAAGGGCGGCATATAAATCAAACCAAAAAAAAAAAAAAAGTAGTAGTGCGCTATCTTCCATGTTACATATTGAGGAACCTATGCATTGATTCCAAGTGCCCAGTGTCTTCTACTAGAGTAGCATAAGAAATTAGGTTCTCCCAATCTAGAACCCACCTCATGTGTCAGATTCCATTTCCCTAATTCCTACTCATCATGTTCACCAGTGACTGTGGGAACTGGAATTCAAGCCATGACAAGAATGGCCTCAAGAAGATTTGGCAACAGTGTTAACTTGCAGTTGTGTTTATATAACTCATATCTGCAAGTAGTGATACTCTAGACCTGTGTTGGTGAACCTATGGCACGCGTGCCGGAAGTGGCACACAGAACCATTTTTCCGAGCACGTGAGCTGTCACCAAGCTCACCTGAAATTGTGTATGCGTGCGCGCCCCAGCTAGTGTTCAGGCCTCTGATGCGCATGCGTGCAATTCAGGGGACCCAGCTGGTCTTCGGAGCTCTCCTGTGCATGTGTGCGAGATTGTGCATGCATGCACAGACAGTGTTAGTGCGCATGCACTGCACATGCAAAAACTGTGCGCATGCGCATATGGTGAGAATGTGCACACAGTGTGGGCTAGATGGTGCAGTTGAGCATGTAGCACGTGGGGAGGAGCCCTGCGTTACCGCGGATGGCATGCGAGCGTGCGCAGGATGCAAAGCGCGTTCCTGTTTGGCACTCGGTAAGTAAAAGGTTTGCCACCACTGCTCTAGATGTTTCTAGGTCTAAAACTATAATTTCTCAGACAAAACACATTCAGAAGCTTACTGTGAAACTTACCAACAGATAATATGGATGCCTGATTAATATAAAGTCGGTCGATATTTTCACTATCACAAATTTTTCCAAACATAAGACAACTAATCATGCTGCTTACTCCAAGTCCTACCATAATGTAGGATGCTTTTTCCAAAGGAATACCCAAATCACCTGCAAGTTTCATCTGCAAAAAAAGGGACAGTGATTTTTAACTTGTCAGGTTAAAAGTACTCTGTTTGGTGAGCACTAGTCATATAATTAAGCTAATTATTTAATTAAGTATAGCCGCAAATTCAGTGATACTTGTTTAAAGGTTTATGCAAATAGTCAGCAAAAAAAATAGATGTGACTGATTGACAATTCAAACATTTCATACTCCTCTCTTGATACTTCTACCTTCATTGGTGCCTCCATAATGCATTGCCAAAAATCAAACTGAGAGGGGACTTGATTTGATCCAAATTTAGGTCCTGAGGTGATACCATGTTTTCTTCAAAAATTATTCCTCGAAAGTAATTGACGGAGTATTATTCAAGTTTTGAAAGTTATTACTACTGCAGTTGGTGTATCTGACACTACTGAAATAAATTTTCTCTTGTTCGCAGTGGCCACTTACCTATTATGTACAAAGGGCAATCTTACAGCTACTACAAATTAATCAATGTGGCCCAGATTGATGCAACCCTTCTCCGCAATTGAGTTAAGGATTAAAAGACTGGAAAAGATTGAATGTTTAGCCACATGTCTTAAAATATTTAGAATATACAGGTTTTACATATGATATAAAAATAAGCATTCTAAGCCAGAGTTCCCCAACTTTTCCGGCTTTGCAGACCAGTGGGGTGGGAGAGGAGATGGTTCCACACGAGCGGCCGGAAGCTCCATTTGTGCACATGGGCCCTCCACTCACTTAAATGGAGCATGCACATGCGCTCAGCCAGTGTTCATGCAAGTGAAGATGCGCTTGTGCACACACACACTCGCCAGCCATTACCACAGCCTGGTTGCAAACCAGGGGATCCTTGTTCCAAGCTGTAACAGAAAAGCCTATATATATATATATATATATATATATATATATATATGACAACTTACCATATGCACAAAAGGTATGTAGAATCCAAATTTTGCTAATCCAAGAGAACTGACCCATGCCTCAAAAATACGATCTTTCCATAAACCTAAATCAACTATAAAACCTCTTAGTGGCGATGTTTTAAATTTTTCAACTACACTTGGATGAGCTCTGTCTTTAAAATACAAAGTAAAAACAAGAGAAATTATTGCTGCTCTTTACAAATGCCCTAGAATACTGATGAATTTCAACAGAAAGCAATACATACAACAGTTATGTGCAACCTGCATAAATAAAAAGCGTATCACAAATGAGCAGAGGACAAATTTGTGTGATGTTTAACCAATTATTTTGATGATTGCAAAGAATGGTTTTATATACCATAAGAACCTATGCTAACATTTCTTGTTGGACACGGCTGGAGCAGGTACAGCCATTAGGGAGAATGAGTTCCTTGTACACAAAAAGATTGCTTTTATCATGAATAGGGATCACATCAGGTTTTTTTTTCTACCTGGTGCCTGCAATTTCCAAAACGCAGCCAGCATGTTGGGTGGAAATGGGTAAAAGGCATGAGGGAATGGCCTAGAAAAACATGAGGAAAAGCCAGTACCAAAGCAACCATCAAACAAGTGTGCCTTAAGTCCATTCCAAGAAACTAATTTCAGTAATCATCTCAGACACACCCCTCTCTAGTTCACACAAAGATAAAGTGAGGGCAAAATGAAACACATTGGGAGTTGCAAGAATTTTTTTACTATAGCTCTTCCAATAAAAAGTAATTTTAGACCTAAAGTATGTGGCATTGATTTCTAAGTCTAGTCTACTTGATAAGGCTGACTGGATAATGGGAGCTGCAATTTAACTCAGTTTTCCCCAGGTTAAGGAAATTTGTTGCAGATACGTGACGCAACTTCTTAGTCGCTTTTATTTGCAATTTGTATTCCTGGAAGCAAACAGCATGGGTGATTTAAGAAGTGAATTGAATTGCTTTAGTGAAGTCCTATGTCTCAAGTTCTGCGGTGTTAAACTGAAAACAGTCTTTTTTCCAAGCATGTGTTTACCCAAAATCTTAACAGGTTTTACTGAAATGAAAGGGACAGTAAACATGAATTTCAGGAATTAAACTACAGCATTTCCAGCAGAATGGATTTGTCTTCTATTATAAGGCATACTGACAGGGTCTTTCCTAATTAATATGTGACAGCTTTTCTGTTCTCCAAAGCTGCCCTATAAATTTATTAAATAAAAGAAGCAAACAGTCAAAGTGATAGGTCTCTTTATTGACAATAACTGAGCTAGTCCTTTCCAGAATTCTTATCATCTGAAAACCCAAATTGGACTGGAGACAGAATGATAAATAAGAGAGATGATAAACGTAATTTTGGAAGAATAGAAGTTACCAAAAAATCTATAGTGGAATACCTGAGATCTGGGGGGGTGGGGGGGATCAAACATGATGACTTCCTTAAATTCTAGCTATGGCCAGGCCATATGGGTCTGATCTTGCATTTATATTCAGCCTCTTGAAATAGCTTCATCCTAAATGAAATCAACCCTGACTGTCCTTTAGAAAAACAGATACTGAAGCTGAACCTCAAATACTTTGGCCACTAAATGAGAAGAGAGGACCCTGATGCTGGGAAAGACTGAAGGCAAAAGAGAAGGGGACGGCAGAGGATGAGTGTCATTGATGCAGTGAGCATGGTTAGACTCCGGGAGACAGTGGAGGACAGGAGAAGACAGAGAAGACAGGGAGGTGCGATGGTCCATGGGATCACCAAGGGTCAGACGGGATTTAGTGACTGAACAACCTGAAATAATCCCTGACAGACAAATGTCACTACAATCATTGACCAGAATCTGAGTTTAATAAATACATGATTGTGAAACCTACTTTTACTGTACACTTAAGATGTGTCAAGTTCTTATCCACTCGCATGTCCAATGAATTTATGACTTACAAGACATACATTTTCTGCTCTATTTCACATTATTGGCTGCTACATCACACCCACATCCAGATGCAGAAAAACTGAATTACTAGATATACCAGGGAAATTAAATTAAATTAAATTAAATATAGCTACCTTTTCAAAACAGTCCTAGGATGCTTTTGTAATCCATCCTTCCGAAGTCAGTAAAATGAAGACCCAGATTGTTGGGGGCAATATGCTGACTCTGTCAACTGCTTAGAGAGGCTTTTAAAGCACTGTGAAACGGTATCTAACTCTAAGTGCTATTGCTATAATTCTATATATAGTCAATGGTTATATATTATCTTATTAAAGATTTGCCCCAATTTAAATAAAATGAGAAAGGGTCAGTCTATGAAAGGGAGCTGAGATAATGTAGATAATGTAGGGTCACATTTTAATTTAAGCAATGCACCATTTCTTGTACCTCTCACATAATTTCCATTTGCTATATGACACTATCCATTGGGGCATTCAGTCTATAACCCCCATCCCAGATTGAGATCAAATTGCAAACATGGTTGCAATAGTTGTCCTAAATGTTGGATTTAATTACCTTTTATTCCCATTTTGTTACTTATTTATTGGGGGAGGGGAGGCATAGTTGTGTTTTGTCTGAGTCATTGTGTAGGGGAATTCAGAAGCCTGAAAAGAACTCTTTGTGTTATTTTGTATTATCATTTTACCCAATATGGATTCCCTTCCCCCACAGACAAAAGGAAATATTTAATTAAAAATGCCCAAAGCAGTTACATACGTTTTTGAAGAGGCTTGTATGCAAATCCAGCAAAAATACATATGGATAGAATTCCACTATACACACGCAAACTATCTCTCCATCCAAGTTTCTGAATTAGATAATACTGAAGTTTATTCTGTACGAAGGTTCCTGCAGCCCCACCAGCCATCACCAATCCAGTGGCAAATGAACGCTTTGTAGTAAAGTAAAGGCTAACCATTATCAGGCCTATCAAGAAAAAATAGTAATTTAAAGTAGTTGTTTTATATTGAAGTCCGGTCACATCTCACTCCATTTTATTTAACACAAGAAAGATATCTGGGAAAGGAGAAAGCTTATTTATTTATTTATTTTTCAGATTTCTATACCGCCTTTCTCCTTTCGGACTCAGGGCGTGAACAGCCAAAGTAAAACATTTGTACACAAAAGTTAAAATAGATTTAAAATAATTAAATAAAATTTGGCCCATAATTTAAAACATTTCAATTAAAACCAATATCAAATTTTAAAAACCCACCATAAAATCAGGACAGCCAGGATAACTGAAAAAAATAGGTTTTAAGGGCCTGACGAAAAGTCCGGAGGTCTGGAATCACTCGTATCTCTGGGGGTAGATTGTTCCAGAGGGTAGGTGCCACCACAGAGAAGGCTCTCCCCCTGGGGGTCGCCAGCCGATATTGTCTGGCCGACGGCACCCTGAAGAGGCCCTCTCTGTGGGAGCAAACTGGCCAGTGGGAGGCAATTGGTGGCAGAAGGCGGTCCCTTAAGTACTCCGGCCCTAAGCCATGGAGTGCTTTAAAGGTAAACACCAACACCTTGAAGCGCACCTGGAAGTCCACCAGAAGCCAATGCAGCTCGCGCAGGAGAGGAGTCACATGGGAATGCCCCGCCGCTCCCATAATCCCCCGCGTGGCCGCATTCTGCACCAGTTGGAGCCTCCGGGTGCACCCCAAGGGGAGCCCCATGTAGAGAGCGTTACAATAGTCCAGACGAGAAGTGACGAGTGCTTGAGTGACCGTGCGTAGGGAGTCCCGATCCAGAAAGGGGCGCAACTGGCATATCAGGTGAACCTGATAGAAAGCCCCCCTGGCCACGGCCGTCATATGCTCTTCTAAAGACAGCCGTGCATCCAGGAGGATGCCCAAGTTGCGGGCCCTTTCCGTGGGGGCCAATGATTCACCCCCAATAACAAGCAATGGCGCCAGCTGGCTATACTGGGACACCGGCAGCCACAGCCACTCAGTCTTGGAAGGGTTGAGTCGAAGCCTATTTCTCCCCATCCAGACCCGCACGGCCTCCAGGCACTAGGACATCACTTCCAAGGCATCGTTGGAATAGTCTGGGGTGGAGATGTACAGCTGAGTATCATCAGTGTACTGATGGAACTCCACCCCAAAACCACGGATGATCTCACCCAGCGGCTTCACATAAATGCTGAACAGGAGGGGCGTTCTGTCCAACTGGAGGAAATATCCAGACCACCCTTCTTATGTTGGAAGAAATATCCTTCTAGGTTCTGCTCCAAGTGGGGAAAAAGACACTGGAAACATGGAGACTGCTTGGAAAGATGGTTTAATGGTGGACAGGATCACATGGCTTGAGTTCCTGAACAGAAAAGGGGCAGATACAGTGAGTCTCCGGGTTTTATGCTCTCTCTGGCTTTGAACTTCCTGGGGCCCAGAAAGAGTATCCTGATTGGTTGTTAGACTTCCAGGGGGTGGGGGTCTTAGCTAGCCCTGCTGGTTGATGTAATCTTCCCAGGTGTCATGTGGTGAGTTTCTGACCTAGATGGGTCCCATTGTCTTGCAGATGAGGTCCATTGACAAAGATTGAGTTTCTGCTTCTGGCCCATTAACAAAGGGTGTGGGGGCAGGAAGGTGGGAGCTGCTTTGTCTTTAAAACATGCTTCTCCATTTCTCATCCAGGAAAACATAATATTCTGCCTCTTTAATATTTCCCAAAATATTTCATTCTTCTAGGAAAGGGATGGGTGCTAACTTCCTACACTTACACATACGGCCATTGATTTTCATTGGACCCAATTAAAAACCATGCTACTATTTACAGTCAATAAGGCTTGCTCTCAGTTGCATGTATGCTGAGGTCATTTGCAAACCAAACTAATTTTAAATCTGATGAATGAAATAACTGGGATTTACTCCCTTAGTGATGGGCAGGATGACATTTTGTAAGTATGCAAGGTTTGGTGGGCCATTTCCTAGCCTTTCAAATTCAGTTAGAAATCTTTCCAGAAGTCTAGAGAATTTCTCAATTAGCCCCCACCCCCATCCACCCCCAGTGTAACTTAAGGCAAATACCAATGGACTGAAAAGGACTAAAACAGGCATGTTAAATTTATCAGATTTAACAGACCTACTATATTTATTTTGACTTTTAAGATATCAAATTAAATTCAGGCATTTTGCACCCTTCTCTAACAATATGATGGAAACAGCATTCTGGATAGAAAATAACCCAGGAGTAGAATTTCCTAAAGTCTAGTTTAGATTATGGCTGCTCAGCATTCCTTGGAATAAGAGCCAAATTAGCTCTGACTGGCAGGCTGGATACTAGATGAGATATGTATGATACCTTGTTCTATATATGTACTGTTATCAGTTACATCTTTCAAAATAAAGATAGCGCGGTTATTATTTTTTCATGAAAAGTGCTATATGACATTATTTTTCTGCCACAGAAGCAAAGCAAAGCAAAGCAAAGCAAAGCAAAGCAAAGCAAAGCAAAGCAAAGCAAAGCAAAGCAAAGCAAAGCAAAGCAAAGCAAAGCAAAGCAAAGCAAAGCAAAGCAAAGCAAAGCAAAGCAAAGCAAAGCAAAAATATGTTTTCAAAAGCAGAAGAAATGTGTGACAAAATTTGATTTTAACGTAAAGTGTTACCTGGAGTGTAAGCCAGACTTGATCCCACACCAACAATGATTCCATGAGTGAAAAACAGCATTGGTAATTTCTGAGTATATGATGACCACACTAGACCACCTATGGTCACTAGATTTCCAATTATCGCCACTTTTATAGCTCCATACTTCACCAGAAGTTTTCCAGAAACAGGACCAAAAATCATAATGAAAGCATAGCTGACAGATCCAATCCAAGCTTAAAAAGACAAATGTATTTAATTAAACATATAAAAAAAATAGTAATATCAAATCACTTGTGTTTTACTCAGGGATGAAATCTAAAATTTGTTACTACTGGTTCTGTGGGCATGGCTTGGGGGGGGGAGAATGTGACTGGGTGGGCGTGGCCAACCTTTTTTTTTTAACTTTTAAAAGCATTTTTTCTACAACCTTAAGAAGTTGCAGAAAAAAATGCTTTTAGAAGCCTCTGATGATCAAGCAAGTCAGCTGGGATCGCCAGAGGCTTTTAAAGGCATTTTTTCCCCTATAACCTCTTCGGCTGAAGAGGTTACAGAAAAAAATGCTTTGAAAAGCCTCTGATGATCAGGGAAATCAGCTGGGATCGCCAGAGGCTTTTAAAGGCATTTTTTTTCCTACAATCTCTTCGGCCGAAGGGGTTGCAAAAAAATGCTTTGAAAAGCCTCTGACGATCCCAGCTGAGCCGCGCGATCATCAGAGGCTTTTTTTTTTACTTTTAAAAGCATTTTTTTGGCCGAAGAGGTTGTAGAAAAAATGCTTTTAAAAGTAAAAAAACAGCCTCTGATGATTGCGCGGCTCAGCTGGGCATGGGGGGAGGGATTTTTGCTACCAGTTCTCCGAACCACCTGCTGCCATCGCTACCGGATCGGGCGATCCGGTCAGAACTGGGAGCATTTCACCCCTGGTTTTACTGATGTAAATGACTCCAATTCTTGTGGTTTTCAAGAGCACTGACATATAGTTTAAACCATTTGCTTACAGACTGTTAAGCAAAGTATATTTGTAAACAAAACTGTAGTACAATATATCAAAGCTATGCTGGAAATCTTAATGTAACAATGACCTACCTATCTGCGAGTTACTTGATTTAAAAGTGTCAAGAAGGGGCAGCATGTAAACACCAAAGGCGCTATGAAATCCACTGACAAGCAAGCAGTGAGTAGCAGCAGCTAAGACTACAACCCAGCCCCAACCCCCATTCGGAGGGGGATGTAAAAAAGAGATATCTGTCTTGATCTCATCCAAAGTACATGTTCTTGTTAATCTCCGTTTATTGATCATAGCGCGAAATTTTTTTAAGGTAGGCATGACTGGGAACAAAGAATTGTAGAGACAAAAAAAAGTATCATTAATTTCTCAAATAGAAAAAATTCAGCACACCTGTCCAATAATCAGAATTTTCTTACTAAAGCAGGATGCATATAAAAGTGGTGCTTGCATTATGACCATGTCAACAACCGTTCAAACTTGTGACAATGCTCAACAGGAGGCACTTATGATTGGTCTGCAGAGTTCCAGCCATCACAGCGTCTCCGCAGTTACACGATTGAGATCTGGGTTCTTGGCACTTGGTTTGCAATTGCAATGTTGCAGCAGCTGCTATCGTGCGAGTGCAATTTCCAAAGTTTCCTGCCGACTTTCCAGTAGGAAAGTAAATGGGGAAGCGAGCAGGAAGTTGGAATTCACTGTCATATAAGATCCGTGTTTAATGATCCACCTCATGGTTTCTTAATGATGACAATTGGATTGCCATCCGTAAACAGCACAGTCACATGAAAATGCATAACTCCCAATTGTCTTCATAACCTGAAAAACTATCTGCACTGCCCGCTGGCAAAGCTGACTTAACTATTTATTTACAACTTTTCGTAAGTTATCTAAAAGATGTTACATATACTTCTAAATATTTTGTATATTATATACTCAATAAAAAATAGAGTTATTGTGTTAGTATATCAAGGCACTTACCTGATTCAGCTTATTTACAGAAAAAAATATTTAACTTTATTATATATAGAATATCTGTTCAAAGTGGAAAAATACAGAGATTATGAAATCATTCTAGCACAAATATCGGTTCCTCCTTTTTCTTAAAATTATTTTTGCTTAAAAGCAGATATATTAATTTATTGAGGGAATAGATTTGATTAAAACCACACAAACACATTCATTATCATGTTCTCTTATAATTTAGAAAGATGCAGTAATAATTTTATGCTCATTTAAAGTGGAAAAAGTATGGCTGTGCAGGCTTCTGAAAAAAAGAAATGCTCTAGATCAGAATATGTCAAGGTTTAAAGGGGCACTAATGCAGCATTGGTTTGCAAGTCCTTAAAACAGCTACACTTTATTCTGTAATCATACAGCTGTTGCACAAAAATGCATTTAATTTGAAAAAGTGCAGAGTTGCTGCCTTGGCGCCTTGCTTCTCTTTTAATCAAAAATCTGCATAGTATTTTTAAAAGAAATATTGTAGCAATTTATTGTTTATTTAAAACCAAAATGGGCAACCATCTGAACATAAACTACGTTTAACCTGTGGTCTAATTTTGTACAACCCCCAACATGTGTTATCTTCTTTTCTCTCCCTTTCCAGGTGATTCATGGAAAACAAAGAGTATCAGCAGCTTGAAACTAGGATGCCTGTCCAGATTGTGATTCTTATATTGTCCAGTTTCATGTCCTGCACAGCTTAGTCTTTCCAAAGAGGTGTTCAAACTCTTTTGTCTACCCAATTTCTCACCCACACATAAAATATCCATAATTTCAGGCATGTTTCTGTACAAGCCTGCAAGCAATCATTATTACTAAAAAGCAAATTGTCTTACAACCATTACACCAAAAATTAGCATTCAAGTGTTTTTGAATATTCCAACTGCAGTCGAACAATAAAATCAGTCACATCCTCTGATTTAAAACATAGAATAGGGTTGGAAGGGATCTTCTAGTCCAACCTCCTTTTCAAGGCAGAACTTAATTTACCTAATGAACACATTTTGTAGATGCTCAAAAGCATCTTGGTTCAGTTTTCTGAATATGCTACCAATTTAAAGGTATCATGTAAATAACCAACTGAACCAACTTCTTCCCATTTCTAACCAAAGTATAGGACTATCCAATAATCTTTAACAATGTTAACAATCCAAAAGGCAACTGGACTTTAGTTTTTCGTATCTCATCCAAGAGGCTTCTTCAGTTCTGACCATGGATGAGAAGCCAAAGATCTTCAAGGAAAAACAAAATGCAGTTGCCTTTTGAAAAAGCACCTTTGGGACAACCAATGACCTGGATGGCTGAGAATCTCCAAAGCACTTAAGTGTTAGCAACAGGATTTCTTAAATAACACATGTTTAAATAATGCCAAAAGCTCTGTGGCTAATCAGTTTCAAGTTGAGTTTCTCAATAAATATGCTTCAGAATTAATCCAGTGTCTGTATGTAATACAAAGTCCAATTCAGGCCATCCCGTTCCTGTTCCCATATACCTATTGTGTGCCTATCTTAATACCTCTTCCTTTACGTGATACCCTACGATAATGCCACCGCTATTCTCCTTCTCTTGAGCTATTCCGTATCCCTCCTTGTCCCAACAGTTAGCCTAGACAACGGTGGGTCGCCCCGTTATTATGGGATGCAGCCCTCCAGCGCCTTCTCTGCGAAGCTCCGGTCTCCCACCGCCCACATTTACACTCCCTTCTCCTAGCCCAGCCTCCAAATCCCACAGCGAAGGACGCTGACTCAGAGAAAGATCACGCTTCCAGTTTTCCAAAGGAAAGCGAAAGCTTTGTGACGTATGACGTCGAGCCCTCCGTTAGAACGCTCGCTTAAAGGGGTGGGGGAAAGGGGTGGGTGGCAGGAGATCGTCGAATTTAAGCCGCGCCTCAGTTCCATAGCGGAGGCAGCAGGAATAGAGCGGGAAACTGTGAAAGGAGGGGCGGGGCTTCTCCCGGACTTGTGGCCACAATAGAGGAAGACCCGAGGGCGCCGGTTTTCGTTCTGAGTTCAAAGAGGACGGGCGTTCCAAAGCGCTGAAATGGAAGCGAAAAAGCGACCACCGTCTATATCACAGGTCTTCAAACTTGGCAGCTTTAAGACTTGTGGACTTGAACTCCCAGAATTCTTCAGCCAGCATAGCATTAGCATAGCATAGCTCCAGCATAGCATAGCTGGCTGGAGAATTCTGGGAATTGAAGTCCGCAAGTCTTCAAGCTGACAAGTTTGAAGACCTCTGGTCTATATGGAGATTCTCAGTCATCCATGTCATGGTTGTCCCAAAGATTTTTTTTCAAGAGGCAACTGGACTTTCTGAGGGGTTTTTTTTCCTCTTTTCTTTGAAGACATTTCGCTTCACATCCAAGAAATGAGCCAAAGAAGCTTCCTGGATGAGAAGCAAAACTTCTTCAAAGAAAACAACAACAACAACCAGAAAGTCCAGTTGCCTCTTGAAAAACTCCTTTGGGAAAAGCGACCACTGTTCCCCAACAAGGCTGATTTTGTGGAGACAGCTTATATTCACTAGCTTGGCCTCGGTGGCATTCAGGCGTAAAAGTCTGTCGGAATGGCGAAACAACCGTGAATGAGAAGTAGCGGGCAGTTTTGAAAGCTGCCTTTCAATGTTGAGCCAGAGCGAAATTGCAAGCTCGGAGTGAACTCGGTTATAAAATCCATCTTTCCAGGAGGTGCTGCTGCTGCTGCTACCCTATCGAGCCTGAAAGCGGTCTGGTCCTGTGGAGCAGAATTGATGTGGTGGCGCAGTGGTTAGAATGCAATACTGCAAGCTACTTCTGCTGATTGCCGGCTGCCAGTTTGGCAGTTTGATTCTGACCGGCTCAAGGTTGACTCAGCCTTCCATCCTTCCGAGGTCGGTAAAATGAGGACCCAGATTGTTGGGGGCAATATGCTGACACTCTAAACTGCTTAGAGAGGGCTGTAAAGCGCTGTATATAAGTCTAAATGCTATTGCTATTATTAAACTGGTACCCAGACTCATCAGCTTACAGAATGCAGTAATAATTTAGCAACAGTTAAAGCATCTACAGTAACCTATAATCCATACAATTTAAACTCTAATGAAGATATAGACTTAGTATATAAAAGGTTTAAGTTGTTTGCAAAATTCAGCTTTGATGCAGTTATATATTTTTTTTTAAAAAGGAATTATAGGTTGATACTTGATGTCATGTTCCAACGAAAAGTATGAAGTTTTGTGGCATCTGTTATCATACACAAAGTCAGCACAGTGTACTTTATAGGAATATAAGGTTTGATCATATGTAATAGATTACATTAGCAGAAAAATTACATTTTATTGTAAGAGGTATCAGTGGCTAGCTGACCTTACTAATTTTAAAAAACTAAAGCAGGGTCAGGATTGGAAACCACCAGGAAATCATACGACTGTAAATCAGATTACGAAATTGACACTCTTAAAAGGAGGCAATGCCAAAACACTTCTATATTGTTACCAAGAAAACCACGTGGATATGTCTATGAACTCAAAGAAGCCTTATATTCATCTTTGTGCATTCCTTGGGCCCTGAGCTTAGTGTTACCACTAAAAATAGCAGAAGTGAGGTGAGCCAAATCATGTACCAGGACAGGGCCTGTAACTGCCTTGGCTGGTTCTTGTTTCCTGAGCCCTTTTGGGCTGCTGTTGTAGCAGAAAAAAAGAGCACCTGTGACCCTCCTTTCTCTTGTAAACATAACAGTTCAGATAATCACTGCTTATCTGAAAAGGCCACATTTCCCCCCAATGTTATTTGGTTGAATAAGAGAATCATCTGAGATTGAGTGAGAATACAACAATCACGGTAGGTAACTTGTATGTTTAACCTTCCTCCAGGTACATAAACTATTAATCACAGTTTATTTACAATTCTAGCATTGGCAGACATCTTTGTAGAAATGCCTGCTGATTGAGAGACCTGCAAAAAGATAACCTGGAATTGTTGAAATGGTGTCATGAAGATTAAAAGTTGACATTAGCAAAAAATCTCAAAAAAAAGATTGTGTCCTTCAAAATGAAATTGCTGGAGCAGAAAAATGTTAACATTCAATTATTTCACCCTAAGCTTAGCCAACAATGTGTAACGAACAGCCAGTGGTATTTACATTCATTTTTTATGCATAAGACAGTTCAGTTTCTTATTTGTAGTCGTCGTCTTTTCTAAGCTGGTGCTTATCCTAGCTCCAAAAACTGGATGCTTTTAGCAAGTTTCTTTTTGCTATGATGAGAATAAGGAGATAATTGGTATAGAAAAATATCTACTACATGTTATTAATTGTTGATTATTTTTCTTAAAATGAGAAATAGCTGTTAGAAAATGATTGTTGTATCAGGAAGATTGATTTCCTACTTCCCCCAGGAGGAATGGACTTTCAGGTACACATTGCCTTTTTATATGTTCCTGAGAGTAACTCGATTTAACTTATGCGGTTGTAAAATCCCATCAGTCATCAGAATTTATCCCTTTCAGAATCCTTGTCATCTTGTCAATTCGTTAAGGCAATGCAGTAGCTGAGAAATAGGTCACGCAGCATATGACGAGATGCCATTTTCCAAAACAGTTCCTTTAAGCCCTACCACATTTCTGAATAAAGCTGCAGGTTTATGCTGTATTTTAAATAACTATTCAACTTATACTTTAAAGGAAACAGAAATAAGGAATTTACTCTTTATTTGAAAAATGCTATCTTCTGTTTCTCACCATAGACTTTGTTATGTGGAAAGCAATGAATGGGTCAAACGGTGGAATTCCCTGGAAGGCTCACAGACCTGATTTT